TGATCGTGATGCAGAGCATGAATATATGGAGGGAATAGTGACGTTTTTATTTTTTAAATTAATTTACCCTTTTCTTCTTTCCTCACCGGTGGCGGTGTAAGCTCAAATCACGAACAAAATATAGATTTTTAATAATTAATTTATTATTATACATATCAAAATTGCTTATTTAAGAATTTTAGAGTGATTTACTTGCTCTTATTGCACAATTATTGTATGAGTCCAACTGTAGGGTTAGATTTTTTATTCGAAATATTATTTAAGTTTTGTTGGATGTAATTATATTCATGAAGTAGTTAACTGATATTAGTAGGGAGTTTTCAGCAGCTGATGGCAGGGTGAGATGGGAATCCTAGAAAAGCCTAGAAAGTGCCTTAGAGGAATGGGTACACTATTTAGTGTTGTATATTCGTTTGAGAGAGGGTATAAATGATTGGACCGGACGGTAGTAGGACATGAGTAGTTACTTAGAGGATCCGGAACGATCCTTGAGGAACGTACAGGTAGGTGTGGAAGGTAGTATTGGGCCCGTACTACTGAAAGTATATGATCTGTACTCGAATCGAGGAAAATTTTGGGGATTCTAAGGAGTTGATTGAGGGTAAATTGTATGGTTTGGCACCATGGTTCATTACAAGTGTTTTCGTCTTATTCGATTTGTCGGTTGTGGTTGTTCAGGCTGGGGATGGGTCTGGTGATTGTTTGGGCCTTAGTGGCATTGATAGATTAGGATTGAATTGTGCAAACATAGGTGAGTTGGTTGATTTCGAAGACCCGAGGGCCTTGTTTGAGGTAGTTCCAGTTGATTCGTAGGAGTTAAGAAGGAAGCGACTGTGATGATCGACTCAAGGGTTACAGCCAGAAGTTGGTTGATTGCCAGATGGATTGGGATGTCACTGTCTTTGATGGGAGTTATGTCATTCAGCTTTCCGTATTCGGAGGAAAGGAAGATCAGACATAAGATTTTCAGAGTTGGAATATAGACCCAACATGGGGCTAGTTGGTTGCGGTTTGTTAGCGGCAAGTATGGCAGTATTGGAATGCATAAGAGGATTATTGTCGTATAGTTGCATTGAGATAGGATCAAGGGTCTGCTTCTTTTGAATTTGGTTAGATCCGACGCGAGTTGATTGTTCCAAGTGATCAAGGAATGTGAATTGAGAGTGTCAACTTTTGTTGTCTCTGATGTATCCCGACTATGAGAACGTTGCCTCTTATATTTATCAATGATCCTCGTGATGAATTGATGGTTGGGGATTTGCATGCGGAGAGTGTGGTAGTACTTTTGTTTCTAGATAGGAAGTCAGTGTTATGAATGGACTACCAAAATTATTGTTTATGCATCTGCATGGGATTCTTGATGCTAGAGGCGGTTATGATTGGGAGGTTTTCGAGGTCTCTATCTGAGATTCGAAATCATTTTGAGTTTGCTTGGCCTTTATCTGGAATATCATCTTGCGTTGTATTGTACATTCCAAGGGCAAAAATTGTTATGTATCTGGTTGAGCCAATTTGAGTTTTAGTCGGTTTGCAATGTCAGTTGGTGGTAGTTCGAACCCTAGTAGTGGAGAACTGAGTATTGTTCTTGAAAGATCACCGGTCTGTTTGGACAATTGGTTTTAGAATAATGGGTCATAAGAATCAATGGTTCGGGTATGCGAGACTTTGGTTCAAGA